CACATCTCATTCCATCAGGACTTGGAACTCGTGATCTGTTGATGAACAGTTGTATGTGTCTATCATTCAGTCACCTGGGCTGGGTCGCTTAATTGATTTCGACAAAAACAAATCCGGCACAAGCCGACAAAGCTAATCAGTATCATCACATATTGTTGAAACCATCTCATTCCATCAGGACTTGAGCTCGTGATCTGTTGATGAACAGTTGTATGTGTCTACCATTCAGTCACCTGGGCTGGGTCCCTTGATTGATTTCGACAAAAACAAATCGGCACAAGTCGACAAAGCTAATCAGTATCATCACACAGTCATCCTAACGGCAGACACGTGAATGCTTAACTACTCTTACTGTCACCTTAACGGCGGACACATGTGAACGTTTGCCTAATCAAAACCCGTTCTTTTAACGATAGACAAAGCTCGAATGCTTGTCTAATCATACTGTTATCGTAACAGCGGACACGTGTGAATGGTTTACTAATCACGCAGTTAGTCAGGCTTTCACAATTTCACACGTGTCCGTCGTTAAGAGAGCCAGTTGATTGATTGGTCAAAACATGACATGTGTCCACGGTTATCGTAACAGCAGGCACAATGGCACATGTGAATGTTTTACTAATCACACGGTTATCTTAACGGAAGACACATGTGAATGTATCTAGCCATCAAATAATTCAAATTCATAGTTTCCAACTCATCATGGCATATACCCGAGTCAGGACCCAGATGGCATCTTTTGGAAAACGATCTGACTTCCACAACTTTGGCCAAACCTATACGACTCTTATGACTCAAGAGGGTACCGCCACTCCATATTGCATTCAGCAGAATGCATAGAAGCAAGCAATCCGGACGTTCATGACATCAGTCATAGGGGGAATGATGGGCGGAACAAACACACAGCACTGATGGCCGGCAACTGAAGCAGCATCGGTTATACAAACTGCATGGAGATTGCCCATTGCCCAGATGGGCTCAGACTTCAAACACTGACAGCGGTCATACACACCATGGAGATGGCCCAGATGGACCCAGACCCCAAGCAAGGAAGTGGAATTGCTGACATGGGGTCACAGAAGCAGCAGCTGTTATACACAGCAATTGAGATGGTCTGTGGTAATGTACAAGTATATATACAGTCCATTAGCACTGGACCAATAAAAGAGAGAACACAAAAATGTCTAGCACAAGGCATGACAAGACGGAGAGGGAGAGAGGGAGAGAGGGAGAGAGGGAGAGAGGGAGATAGGGAGAGAGGGAGAGAGGGAGAGAGGAAGGGAGAGAGGAAGAAGGGAGGAGGGAGGAGGGAGGAGAGGGCGAGAGAGGGAGAGAGAGGGAGAGAGACGGGGAGAGAGGGAGATGGAGGAGACAGAGGGACAGAGTGACGGAGAGAGGGAGAGGGAGAGAGCGAGGGAGGGAGGGAGGGAGGGAGGGAGGGAGGGAGGGAGAGGAGGAGAGAGGAAACGCATGCATACAACATACATACCACTATGCACTGCTGCCAGACTAAGCATAGGTACTGTGTGCTTCACCTTTGGCAGGGACTGCAATGGAGGGGCACCCACCTGCAGACACAACCAGGTCAATCAAAGAGCATAGCACAACAGACACCGTAGGTAACTGAGAGGTAGAAAGAGATTGTGCCGCCAATCTTAGAGCCTGAGGCTCATTTTCGTCCCCTTCCCATCCTCAAAAGCATTTGATGCCGTGCCAGCACGTGCATCCATGATCATTGCTGTCAACGACGCCACTGAGGCCTATTTTTACCAGGTCGACTGCGTAGTGCCTGCAGTAATGACAGGTGCAGTTTCCATGGAGTCGACCAGCATATAGCGCCTGCGGCATAAAACGTTTTTTTTTCGCAAACTGCACATGTTTCATGGTTACATGGCACATAAGAAGTATTTTTTAAATTTTTTATAAACTAGGAACTTTTGGTCCAGAGGTTAGGAACTTAGGAGTTCAAATCCGTCAGTTTCAACAATATCAGGGAAGGCCAACCCTTTCTAAGGAAGAAACAAACATACAAACAGGCAGGATCGGTTATGAGGCTGGCTCCTTGACTGATTCTCTGCTCACAACTACAAGCACCTGTCAAGACATCAAACAGGACCTCTCTGCGACAACCAGCAGCCAAGGCTGGCATCTTTCTCACTCGAAAGTCTGCAGGACTAGCTGGGAGGGGCATTAACAAGAACCTCCGCCGCAATCAAGCTGAGGGCTCTCACCTGTCATGTGTCCGAGGATTGAAGGCAGACTAGCATGATACCATGGGCCCACTGCATCCTCCGAGTTGCGAGTGTCGGTCAACATCCCCAATCTCTCTCTCTCTCTCTCTCTCTCTCTCTCTCTCTCTCTCTCCCTCTCTCTCCATCCTCATACCATCACAAACCATCCATAAACAAAAAGAACAGTATAGATGAGCAACATAATAGGAGGAGCAAGGTTCCCCACGTTTGTGTGGTTGAGCGGGAAGTGCTCACGCACCAGTCTGCCGCCGAAGCAGCACACTTGCACAGATATATATAGTTTTTTCAATCTATAAAAACAAAGGTAAAGGGCAGAAGACAACATATGTGTGTGTGTAGGATATTACACATTTATATGCGGCTCGGCACCAATTCCCTTGAGACACTTGTTTTGGTCATAGCTCATTCAACCCAAGGTTCACACGCACATACAGATACAATGAGCAGAAGCAGGCAAAGCACCACGACATGGCACGAAGAGAATGCAGGTAGTGACAGACCGCTTTGTTGGACTCTCGCCGACTCATGAGGGGACTGAACCCTCGACAGTCTGCAGAATCCCCTGACAACGTTCTATGTCATAACCTGCTGTTGCAACTTGCAAGTGGGTAACACAGTGAAACATGCAGCGCAGCACATACTACGACAACTTAAAGCAAGGCATACCATGGGCAGGCCCCGGGGAGAGAGGAGAGGAGGAGAGAGGGGGGGGGGAGGGGAGAGGCTGGGCGCACACAGGAACACGACAAGGCACACAGCAGTGTATGCACTAGGCAGCATATAGCTACCGTCTTCACCCAAAAATAACGTCCGGGCCTCATACTCAACTTACCCTACAAGAGTCAGATTACTCACTTTTTGGGGAATGTAACACCCCACCCCTTCAACTATAATGTAGAATATAATGCCCGGGCTGTATATTAAAATGTGGCATGGGTAGAATGCTTCAGTTAGATTTTTTCTTTTTTCCTATCTTCGAATTGGTAAGCAATTCTGAAGTGACCCTCAGCCAAAAGGTGTTTCCAACTTTGCATTGGAATTCCACACAACTTTTTCTCACAGAATTTTTTTGTTTTCCTTTTTTCAGGGGGTGTCATCGAAGTTCCCAGCAATTTACTGAATACAAGATCACGCCCGTCGCCAATGCATTATTTTGAAGATGGTAGGCAAGCGGGCGGCCAGGAGGGACGAGGGGCAGGCACAGAGCAACACAACAAGGCATGCAGTATGTCAGCGTATAGCAAGGGAAGCAGGCGGCCGGGGCAAGCGGGCGGGTAGGCAGGCACACAGCAATACAGCAGGACTCGCAAGAAGAAAGCGGGACGACAGCATCAGCACAGAAACCTAGAGATGCTGCAAGGATCACAGCAGACTATCACCTCGTGACATCATATGGAGAACTCTGCAGACTGTGGGTTCACGCCTGTGTGCGCGTGTGAGAGAGAAAGATACCAGGTGAGAAGAGGAGGAGGGAGAGAGGAGACAGAGGCAGAAGAAAGGGAGGGAGAGAGGTGTGAGTAAAGAGAGCGAGGAGAGGGACAAGAGAGGGACAGGAGAGATTTATCAGAGAAAGAATCGAGAGACACAGGGAGAGAAGTGTGTGAGAGAGAGAGGGAGCGGAGAGGAGTCACGACAGAATTGTGCAAGAGGAGAGGGGAACAGGGCCATTGGGGAGGGTGCAAACGATGCGCACAATCATCATACATGCATTCACACACACACACACACACACACACACACACACACACACACACACACGTACATACATGTATGTCCATGTGAGCGATCTCCTTACCAATTCATCACGTGGAGAATCCTGATCCTTCAACTCTGCTTCAAGGTCACGCAGTTCCTTTACCAGGGAGTCGTAAGCATCATCACTGTCATAAACGTCAATGAACACAAACAAACAATGAGCCTCAAACACGTATCGATAGGTGGAAAGAAGATAACATTGAGTTTTGCAACACATTCATCACGATACATGAGTTGTCACACGTCAACTCACAGACTCAGGCATTCCAGGACATTCCCAGACTATTTCTACACTACAGGGTTCCTAGAGCCCCTGACTGATGCCTGACCTGACCTGCCACAGTTAACCTGGAATAGCCTACCGTAGGGCTTCCTTCTTCTCTTGGATAGAGCACGGAGTACATGCAGCTCGTATTCAACGCAACTTTCAGGCCAGATGCAGCAAAAATAACCCCATGTTGGAGGGATCAAGGAGAAGACAGCAGTTTTATGGCCAAGCAACTGCGGGTACTTCATGTAATGCTAAGCTACCGTCTTCACCCGAATACAATGCACCCTGATGTATATGAACAATCTTTCTTATGCAATACTGTCATGATGAGGGTGTTCTGTATTCGGGGGAAGACCGTAGTCATCTTATAAATTCTAACAATAAACATGAAGTCTCGATGGCATGCTTTCGACAAGCTTTGCTATGTAGAGCATGCTGGTATGATGCTGCACTACACCAACTGTAAAGACGGCTTTCTTTCTCTCTTTTATTGGCAGCGTTATCTCACGAATCAGGGGGGGGGGAGGGGAGGAGGGGAAAAAAAAAAGCTGCCTGACAGAAGCATATTCTGTCCAACGCAAGCCAAAGGCCAGTCCATTGCTTGTTTCCGTCTCCCCGCATTAACAAAGGGAATAGTCTTTGAACTTTCCTGGTCTTACCTGACCTTGATTCCAGCTAGATTCCGTCGGCAGTCTAAGTACACCCCAAAAAAAGTCCTGTTTTGCAGCGGCTGAATATTTACAGTTGGTGCGAAACAAGGTTGGTCATTGATCAAACTGGTTAATCCCGGTTCATGTCCCCATTTTTTGGGCCCCCCTCGCACCTAGCAGGTAGGATCCATTCAGACAAGTTTATCATAAGAGAGAGAGAGAGAGAGGGAGGGAGATGGGTCACATCCCCATTTTTTGTTGCACCCCCGCACCTAGCAGGTAGGATCCATTCAGACAAGTTTACCATACTAGAGAGAGAGAGAGAGAGAAAGAAAGAAAGACACACACATGCAATAATCGACAACACGTGCGAGGTTTTACTTTCACAGTATACACGTCCTGTCCGTGGCATGCGACAACTGTCGCGACTACCCTTCTACCTCACTGCTCATGTAATCCTTTCTGCCATTGTCCCTGAATTTATACCCTATTCCTTATCCTTCCCACCTACTTGTCCTCATTCCCTGCAGCGTCCTCAGCATCGTTGCCTCTGAGTTTTCCGTAGTCGCGCTCTGTACTGCCCTTGTCGTCGTTGATGATTTCCCGTGGTCGTCGATTTGCTGTATATAACGTCTTCCTCCTGCATACGCTTCTGTCCTAATGTCATTTCCTATTTCTATTTCTCTTTTGGTCGGAATTCGGTACTCGTTCAGTTGCTTTCCCTTTCGGCTGTATTTCTGTCGAAATTTTCGTGTTTATATCTGACTTGTATTACTGGCTTGTATCTGGCTTTGTTTGTTGCTTTTGTCATTCGCGCGGTCGTGGGTTTCATCATTATATCTCAGATGAGTACTTTCATTTTCCTGTCGCCTGTACTTTGGAAACGTATGATTATCCTGGGTTTCGATTCGATTCACTTACTGCGTATGCTGGGAGATCCATCCGGTACTTCTTGCATCATTATATCTGTAGATTTTCCCGGTCCTTTATGTGATTTTTTAGGTTCTTCCGTCGCATGCGCGTTTTTCTTTTTTCTTTTGTCGCTTTTATGTTTCTCTTTTATATCATTTCTCGATTGGTGTTTCTTCTGCTTCCAGACACTTACGGAATTTATTCCGGACTTTGGTGTCCTTGCAGTTTCTGATGAACGCCAAAATCGCCGTGCGGGTTATCTTCCATGGGTAGTCCATCTGTCTGAGTTCCTTACAAGACAGCTTCATTACCGTGGTCAGATCTGCGACATCATATGTGTCCGCAGCCATTCTGTGAAACGTGCCAATTATTGTCAGAATTTTTGTTTTCTCGGAACCAGCACTCCTGAAGTGACGCAA